CAAGTTCTGCACATGCTCGTTTCTCTCCTGTGTCTGCAGCTCGTGACTATAGAAGTCTTTCTGACTCTGAAACGCGTATCCTGTGTTCATTAACGGTAAGTGGTTTTAGCATGCATGGGAAGAGGCAGGCGTTCCTCATCTCAAGGCAGACCCTGGAGAGGGGCTCGGAAGGCGCATCAGAAGCCGGTCCTGGCTGGTGTGAGCGCAGGCGGCCGCGCACCTGGCTGAGCCTCACACGTGGGACTCAGGAAGGCGCAAGGAGGTTATGCTTGTGAACACTTTCCAAACATTGCCACAGGCTGTGCACATGTCAGTGTTACTGGTTTTTATAAGTAGTAATAGAGGTAGTACTCGGACCGGACAGGGATAGTTTACAGTGATGGCTGTTGTACTTACTGGTGTCGTACTTAGCAGGAGGTTTCAGGAAAGATGTCCTTCTTGGTGGGGGAATAGTCATATACACTAAATGTTTATCTGCTATTTTCTTCATATTATTGGATAAAACTGCCAGTGACTTGAAAGTTATTGAAGATAAATCAATTTCTTCGTAACCACAGGGCAGTAGAAGCAGGTTCCAGAGAGTGGTGGGTTCCAATCACTGCTGCCTCCTGCCCTGTCACACTCAGCACAGACGCTGAGTTCTCCGGAAGCTTCCTGCCACTCTTGCTGTTCCTGGTCATCTCTGTGGTGGAGAAGGAAGGGAACTGCCCTACCTGGCTCTTCCAGACTCTTCTAGGCCCCCAGTGTACAGCAAGGAGGCCCCCTTTCCAGCATTTCTTCCTAATGGATTCATCTGATTTGGGTTGCCAGGTGTTCTTCCCCTGTGTCAGTGTTTTGGTTTGGGAGAGTGCCATTTTCCTAACACACAAACACCTGGAGCCATCCCGTCACCCTGAGAGCTGGCCGCCCCCAGGACACACCTCAGGGTGGCCCAGCTCTGGGAGAAGACTTGAAAACCACTGAACTCACTTCTTTGGGTTTCTCTCCAGTGCAGTTTCCCTGTTTTTGCTCTGGCAGTAAATACAGATGCTTTCAGTTCTTTCGAGCTTGCAGAGAAAGTAAATAGCAAATTCAGAACTCCTGTTAGCACCCGTGGAACATTTTTTGAGTCCGGCCCCTGCATCTTTGCTGTTCTGTGCTGGCTGCCGGGAGCCCTCCTAGAAGCAGTGAGAGCACTTGCCCCCCGTCTCCCGGGCCTCCTTGCCCTGCCCCTGGTTCCTGGTGCTAAAGTGTTCCCTGCACACCTCTGGTGATTTCTGCCTACTTAGCCATGACACCTTTAAAAAAGCACTTATGTTAAAAATGCATAGGTATTTATTTTAATTTATTAATTTACATACAGGCCCAGATCAAAATATCTGCCAGAATGGAATGTGGTTTGCTGCTTAGATTGGCCATTACAACAGCTCTGATTCAGAGAAAAATCTCAATTCTGGGTTTTTGCAGGCCGTATCCCAGTAGGCTGAGCTGTCTTGGCAGCAAGAGCAGTTTACCTGGGCCCTCCACGGTGCTGGATGTTTTGGTTACTGGGCTCCGCAGAGTGGCCCCGTCCCACATGTCTGTTCTTCCTGTCCTACCCATTTGAAGTTAGGGTGTCTAACATCTCTACTTCAGACTTAGTCTCCAGTTTAGAAGGTGCTTGCGTGGATGTTGTTATCCAGAACCACGGCATCTGAACAAAATGTTTCCTTCTTTGCCCCCAGAACTGCATTTTCATTTGTCAACTACTCTCATCTGGTTTTATGGGATTAACAAAAATTCAGGTGTTTAGAACATGAAGACTCAGTGTGCTGGTTCTATCCTGCCCAGAGCACAGATAAATAGTTACCAGCGATGAATCAAGAATGTTTCTACCGTTTCCTCCCCTCCCCTCCCTGCCCCTCCTCCTCCGAGACACTCAGTCACCCAGGCTGGAGTGCAGTGGTGCCATCACAGCACACCGCAACCTCCGACTCCCAGGCTTAGGCGATCCTCCTGGTTCAGCCTCCTGAGTGGCGGGGACTACAGGTGTGCGCTACCACTCCTGGCTCATTTTTACATTTTTTGTAGAGACGGGGTCTTACTTTGTTGCCCGGGCTGATCTCGACCTCCTGGGCTGAAGTGGTCCCCCCGCTTTAGCTCCCCAAGGTGCTGGGATTACAGGTGTGAGCCACTGCGCCCAGCCTCTGTCATTTTTCTTGACCCTTTCAGTATGCAAACTTTCAGGCAGCAGAGCAGGACGGTGTGATGGACGCTGTGGGTACCCCCCCCCCAGGTGCAGCTGTTTTACACGCACGCTTTCCCATCTTGTATCGACAGGTACTTAATGCCTCTTCATCCTCAGGTAGGATTCTGTCAGTTTGATTTGTTTCTTTACTAATTATTGTAACCAGTGTCACTAAAAATCTGATTGTCACTCAGCAGCTAGTGGCTAATAGCTGTAAGGCTGCGGGAAGGATGTAAAAATCGTGCCTTGTACTAAAAGGTGTACACGCTGGTAAGCTCCGTCTGCCCTCACAGAATTTACAGTCTAAGTAGAGTTAAGACAGTTGCTGCACATGAATGTATAGTGAGCAGTGTGAGTTAATTCGGGGGAAGAAAAGATCATTTCCTGCCGAGGGGATTCAGGAAGCAATTTTGCAGAAGAGCTTAGGCATTGAACAGGCTCTTCCAGAATGTGTGGGTTAGACCAGCCACAGCATGGCTGAGCGTCCCCCATGGGCCAGTGATGCCCACCTGCTAGGAGCAGGTGACGACACTCGGACCCTGGCTCCCTGAGAGCCAGCCCAGTTCTGGTGGAGTACCCTGTGGGTGTTGAATTGGTGCACATTGCCTCATTGATGACAACGAACTTGAAAATGTCACATTTTGTGTTAGCCTTCTCTGCAGTGTCCTCTGTGGCACTGTTCCATAGAAGGGAAGTCTGGCTCTGAGGGAGGAAACACTTGGGGTGGCTTTGCTGGGCCCTAGCCCTGCCCCTCAAAGCAGGGTTCCAGAATTGTCCTGCACGAGAAGACGGTTGCTATGGTGAGGTTAGTTTATGGTTCTCTAGTGGGCTTTACTTACAGGTGCAAACGATTTAGGGAACCTGGAGAAACTATTTTTGAGTTTCAGCATCCTAAAGCATTCCTGTTGGCGCATCTGAGGACTTCCGGAGTACCAGGTGTAGAATATCGTCCAGGATTTTATGTTGTCGTAAATTACGGTTTTAATATGTATAACTGGATAAAACCAAATATTATGTATTGTGTACAGAGGAGCTAATAATGTAGGAGTTGGGCCTCATGTCCCTCACTTCTAACTCTTCCTTTTCTCTGGAAGGCCAGGAAACCTCTCCCACAGGTCATAGCGGGTCATCCTCAGGGCTTCACCCCCTGCTTTCCTTCCAGGTGACGTCAGACGCTCACTGGGTGCGTTCCGTGAGCCGGTGCGGGCCCTGGCGGGGGCCCAGGACTCTCCTCTCTGTTCACGTTCCTGACACCACATTTCCTTCGAGTGATAAGGAAATGTTTAAAATTTCTTTATTTCTTTTTAAAATAAAGTTTAACATGTTTATCAAAGCAATGAACATACACATTACTTTTTAAAAATCAAAACATAATCCCTACCTGGAGGCAAACCCTTCTAGCTGTTGTTTCTAATAGGTTCAGCCATATTTTTAAAGAATATGTTTATCGATTTACCAGTTCCTGGTGTGGCTTTAGTGCTTTTGCACTCACTACTTCCCCTCCGCCGTCCAGGATGGTTGTAGATCACTCTTTCACTTCTGCTGTATTGTGAGTTTGCCATTGACAGTTCTTTACCACAGAACAACAAGAATGAGGAGGAGCGTGCGGTAGAGACTCTTCCGATGTCACCCACCCTGGGACGCGCGTCACACTGCCAGGTCGCCTCTGCTGGCCTGCCCTCTTCGCTCAGGTTGTCCGGACGTTAGCCCAACGCTGACAAAATGAGACGATGACATCGCGACTGCATGAACGCACCTCAAGAGAGAGCACGTCGCGTGCGTGTGGGCGCTCTCCCGCCTTTGCGCGGAGTCCCCTGCTCTCTGCTCTCGAGGCGCCCCGGCCGCACCGTCTCCATTAGAGGCCCTCAAGGAGGTGGGGTGTGTGAGAAGGCTGGGCCCCCACGGGCTTTCTTTTTCAGTGTTTCCTGACTCTTCTTGCGTGTTTGTGTCTCCAAGTGAACTTCAGTAGCAACGTGTTTAACTCCATAAAACAGGTCACTGGGATATTTATTGGGGCTACGTTGAATTTGTGAATTAACCTGGGGAGAACTGACATCTTAAGAACGTTGACGCATCCTGCCCAAGCAGGGGACATCTTCCCCTTCGCTCCAGGCTCCGTCTGTTTTCCAGGAGAGCCTGGAAAGTTTCCGTGCCTAAGCTTTGAGCTTATTCCTACGCCTGTAATCTCTGTTGCTTTTGTAGTGGAGTTTCTTTGCTGTGACGTCCTCTGTTTATTGGTTGCATATATCAATGCAATTGATTTTTCTGTGCTAATTTTAGGTCGTGCTAATTCAATACATTCTTCACAGTCCTCCGCAGGGTCCAGGCAGGCGGCAGGGGCTGTGTGAAGCAGGGCCGGCGTGAGGAAGCGGAGCTGGCCGCTGGCGTCCGTGCTCTGTCTTCCTTCCGACGCCTCTGCCCCCGCTGCCTCACACATTGCAGGTGCCTTCGTCGGAGCACAGTGTCTCTTTCCACGCCTCAGATAATGTTTTCAAAGCGATTCCACTCTTCCGAGAAACTTCCGATGTCACGGTGGCAGCTGGGTTTGACCTAGCGACACGCGGCAGGCTTCACTACTTGTCTCGTGGCAGCTCTCGATAAATGTGTGTGAGCGAATGAGTCAGCTTTCACAGCCACCCCGGGAAGTGGTTACTATCTAGCTTTGTGGATGGAGAGGCTTGGGGCCACCTGTTCAGGCCACGCAGCTGTGAAACGCAAACTCAGAGTGAGAGTGGGCAGGTTCCGGGCGTTCCCTCGGGTCCCTGATCAGTGTCTCGTTTCTTCCCTGCAACAGGCCCGGTACAAGCAGAGCCTCGACCCAACCGTGGACGAGGTCAAGAAGCTCTGCACGTCTTTACGCCGCAACGCCAAGGAGGAACGGGTCCTCTTCCACTACAACGGCCACGGGGTGCCCAGGCCCACGGTGAACGGGGAGGTCTGGGTCTTCAACAAGGTGGGCATGCCTTCCGATCCCTTTCTGTTTCTGCCAAGCAGCTTGTGCGCGGTGGCGCTCGGCCGCAGGTGCCGTTCGGCCCTCGCTGGCGCTGAGCCGTTGCGTTCGCTCCGTGCCAGCCGACCCAGCGCGGTCTGCGCGGGCCCGGGGCTGCCGCAGGTTCCGAAGCGCTTTTATCTCAGTGGTGAACGCTGGAAAGTAATCAGGCACAGGAGTTGTTTCTGTTGCAAGCATGTCAATGAAATGACTGTCTTGAAATGTAGCACGTGTGCTCTGTTTCTCCTGCAAGAACAGGAGTCGGTTGTAGTTCTCTGAGGAAAGACCTCCGGAGTATCTGCCTGCGAGTCTGAGCAGTTACAGGGTTTCTCAACTTCGTTAGTCTTCCCTTAAGAGTCAGTGATTTTCTGAGGAAATAAAGGGCTTTCCGTGTTCCGAAGGGCTCGTTCCAAGCCACCCTGGAGGCGCAGCCTCAGCACTCTGACCAAGGCGAAAATCGCCAGCCGCTTCCAGTCCCTTGAGCCAAAGAGGAGGTGAAGTTGGGAGGTGACACCCCTCAGTGCCATGGGCTGTGGGTGGCAAGCTTCGTTCCTGTCCCCAGTCCCCAGCACGGGAACTTTGGTCCCCGTCAGCAGCCGGCTGGTGGTGTGTCTGTCTGCACGCGCTGAAAGGCAGTCCTTGGAGGCGAGCGGTGGCCCCTGCGCGCCGATGTTTCTGAGCGTATGTGCCGAGGTGCTGGTTTGGGATCCCACAGACACGAGTTCGAGTTTCAGCTTTGCCACAGCTTTAGGGCCACGGACAAATGATCACCTTCCTGTGCCCTGTCTCCTTGCTGTGGAAGCTGCCTCTTCGTGGCATAGTGAGGGATAAAACAGGTAACAAAAAAAGTACCTGACAAACCACTCGGTCTCTTTCAAGTAGTGAACTCCCAATAAATTTCCCTGTCCCCTTTCTGTGGCTACCGTTCGGCCCGGTGGCGATGGGGTGCGGGCAGACGAGACGGAGGCCTAGATGGGGCTTGAGGCCCCCGGACACGCCTGAATGAGGAGAAGGTGCTGCGCCTGCTCCTCCCTGCAGGGCAGTGCCCTTTGTCCCCTGTGTATCTAGACACCGACTGGATTTTAATCATTTTTATGGAATATGGAGTAGATTCAAAACTACAGCTATGAAAGAAGCAGACTTTAAAGAGATGTGGTATCACAACCACCAGGTATCCTCCAGCCGGCTCGGAGAAGGAGCCGTCCTCTTCCGTTCCCTTCTTTCCCGTGCCCGCTGCCTCCTGTCCCCACATTTGTCTGTCTGCAGACGCCTTCAGTTCTGGGAGTTCCCGCTGACATGATCGGGCTCACGCTGCTCCGCACCTCTCTCAGCGCTGAGCTCTGGGCTTTGTCCCCGCGGCCTGTGGCTGTGCGTCCTGCCCACATCCTCTCCCTGCTTTCTGCGCAGGTGGGCGCCGGCTGGTTCCCATCGGTCCTGCTCTGTGCTGCTGAGTGTCTCAGCTGCCCCCTCCTTCCCGGCGCTGGGAACCCAATGCCCTTCGTGACAGGCTGCGGTGGTCTGGGTTTCCCTGGGGACTGCGACGGTCACGCAGGGCGGGCCCCGGGGCTCCCTCTTCTGTGAGGCTCCCTGTCTCCTGTCCGCTCCTCGCTTGGGTGGCCTGCCTTTCTCTTGTTGGTTTGAGGGAATTCTTTATACTCCAGACGGTATTTCTTTATCATTTTTATGAGTTGTGACTCTTTTCTCTGAATTTATGACTCGACTTTTTTTTTCATTCCCTTTATGGAGCCTTTTGATGAATAGGAATTTATTTTAAAGTCAGCACATTTGTCAGACTTAACTTCACGTGCGGACACTTTTTGTTTGTTTTTAATCTACCCAAGATCGTACTTCATGGTGCAGACTTTTTGTGTCTTATTTAGTAAGACTCTCCGTATGCCCAGATCATAAAAGTCTTCTGCTATATGTCCTCCCAAAAGTTTTTATCCATTGCCTCGGGGTCACTAATCTACCTGGAACAGGTTTTTGTATATAGTGTTAGGCAGAGGTCAAACTTCTTTTTTTGTTGTTGTTGTTATTTTTTGTAGAGATGGGGTCTCACAGTATTGTTCAGGCTGGTATCAAATTCTTGGCCCCAAGTGATCCTCCCGCCTCGGCCTCCCAAAGTGCTGGGATGATAGGCGTGAGCCACCAGGCCTGGCCCAAATTCATTTCTTTACAATTGAATACTTACCTATTTATTCTGTTACCACTTAATGCCGGCTTTCAGCTAGAATAAGTGTCCGTGTTGTGTGGGCAGGCCCCGAGTCAGCTCTGGCCGTGGCCTCGCCGCTGGGCCGGGGCTCGGTGCTCAGGAACCCAGGCTCAGTGCTGCTTGGCGTTAGGAAGGTGCCTCTGCCTCTTTGATCCTCAGTGGTGTCTTGGCCACGCGTGGCCCTTCGTTCGGTCTTTTGTGAAAATGTTGAATCAAGATGCCAAGTTCCATGAGAATGCCTTTCTTTCCCTTTGATAAACTAATGGGAGAGAGTAAACGTCTTTACAATAATGAGTTTCCCAAACTGGATCCTTTTAGGTATCAGTACAGTTTTATAATTTTCTTCAAAAACGTTTTGCATATCACTTGAATTTATTCCCAGGGACTTTTGATGCTATTATAAATGTCAACTATAAACATTATGTTTCTAATTTTTAATTGGGGTATATGGAAAGGCAGTTAATTTTTGTTGTATATGTTGTATCTACCAATCTTGCTAACCTCTCTCACTGATCCTAATAAATTATCTGTACACACTTCTGGGTTTTACCGATGGACTGTGGCATCCTCTGCAAAGTGGCAGCTATGTTTCCTCCTTTCCAGGCGGAGCCTCACAGTTGCTGTCCCCGCCCTCCTGTGCTGGCCGAGGCCCCAGGACAGGGGCTGCAGTCTAGGGGCGTGCAGTCTGGGGGCGTCTGGTCTCCTTTGTCCTCTGCGGGGAGGGCTTCCTGTGTGTCAGTGTGCGGTGTCTGCTGCAGGCTTTTTGTAAGGAAAAAAAGCAGAAAACAAAAACTTCTATCAGATTAAGAAAGTTCTCTTCCTGGTTTGTTTTTTTTTAAAAATCACGAATAGATTTTTCTCCATCCATTATTTTTTGTGTGTATATTAAGATGGTCATATGGTTTTTTCCCTCTTAAGCTGGCGATACATAGAACGATATGATGTGACTTTCTAGTCATGCCATACATCTTCCATTCTTGGGGTGGCCTGTCTGCCGTTGTGAGTGATCTGTTCCATACATGGTTCAATTCAGGTTGCTGCTGCTCTGTGGGTGCAGTAAATGTGTGCTCGCGAGCGAGACTTGCCTGAGATTGTTCTTTCTCTTGCGGTCTTTGCCTGGTCTGAGTAATCAGTGTAACTGTGGCCTTAAAAAGCAAGTTGGAGAATGTTCCTTCTTTTTATATACACTGAAATACTTCTTGTAAGTTTTGATGTGTTTGTTGTCTGAATGTTTGGTGGAACTTACAAATAAAGCTGTCTGGGGTGATGGTTTGTTTGTGGGGAGATCTTTTGAGTACTCATCTAGTTTCTTTCATGGTTAAAGAGTTATTCAGGTTTTTCCATTTCTTCATGAGCAAACTTTGCTGACTTATTTTCGTAGAAATTTGTCTATTTCAACTGAACTTTCAAGTGTGTTGACATAAACTAGCTCTGTATATCTCTCTACAGGTATTTTCTCCCAGACCCATTTCAAAGACTGTGACACTAAAGAACAAGGAAGTTTTTCTACGTAACCACCGAACCATTACATTGCTCAAGTTTAACACCAATCCTACGATATTTATTTAACATAGAGTTCAAATTCATGTTTTCCCACTGTCTCCAAAATATGCATTAATAAGCATTGTTTTACTTGTTGGTTGATTTTGTTCTGGATCCAGGATCTAATCAAGGTCCGTGTGTTGCATTTGTTCCTCCTGCCTTTTTAGTATCCTTGAATATAGATTAGTCTCCTTGCCTTTCTTTTTCCATGACATTGGCTTTTATTTTTCATATACTTGCTTTCCCCCTTGCCTTAAATGACTTTTTTTTTTAAAGACAGAGTCTCACTCTGTCACCCTGGCTAGAGTACAGCAGTGTCATCATAGCTCACAGCAACCTCAAACTCCTGGGTTCAAGCGATCCTCCTGCCTCAGCCTCCCAAGTAGCTAGGACTACAGGTGTATGCCACCGTGCCTGGCTGATTTTTTTTATTTTTAGCAGAGATGGGGTCTCATGCTTGCTCAGGCTGGTCTCCAACTGCCCTAAGCTCAAGCGATCCTTCTGCCTCGGCCTCCCAGAGTGTTAGGATTACAGGCGTGAGCCACCACACCTAGCCTCTTTTGCCCATTTTTAAAATCAGGTTAATTTGTTTTCTTGTTGAGTTTTAAGAGTTCTTTGTATATTTTGGATATCAGTCCTTTA